CATACCTGGAGCGTTGGAAACCTAATCACCCTCAAAGTAGTCTCCTTGGGACTCCACACACTTCTCCCAGCGGTGCCGCCATTGTTGGAAGCATTCCGAGACAGCCTCTTTCGAAATGGAGTTTAGCTCGGCTGTCGTTGCAGCCAAAATGTCCTCTCTTGTCTGAAATCGTGTTCCTTTCAATGGCGAGTACTACAGGGATGTCCTCCGTCACCTACATGATGCTGTGCGGCGCAAGAGACCGGAGTTGTGGTCAACAGGAAATTGGCGCCTCCATCACGACAATGCTCCAGCATATTTCTCGCACTTGATTCAGACTTTGTTGGCAAAAAACCAGACTCCTGTGGTTCAACAGGCTCCTTACTCTCCTGATATGGCTCCTTGCAACTTCTGGCTGTTCCCCAAACTCAAAAGGCCATTGAAAGGAATGTGATTTCAGACAAGAGAGGACATTATGGCTGCAACGACAGCCGAGCTAAACTCCTTTTCGAAAGAGGCTTTCTCGGAATGCTTCCAACAATGGCGGCACCGCTGGGAGAAGTGTGTGGAGTCCCAAGGAGACTACTTTGAGGGTGATTAGGTTTCCAACGCTCCAGGTATGGCAGTTTTTATTCCCCGGCCAAAGGTCAAATACTTTTCTCACAGGTCTTGTATTACAGAATGGCTTGTTATTTTGTAAGTTTAGCAGTGTAATAACTGTACAATATCAATAAAGTTTTTATTACAAATTCAAGAATTCCATAATGGACAAGGGTAAACAGTGGAAAGTGGATAAGAAGCATAGAAGATTTAAACAAGAAATAAAAATTTTATTAAATAGTTTTTATTAGAGTTAGTATAAAATTCAAATGACTCAAATTTTTTTGGAAAAAGAAATATTACGGCCCACCAAGTCTCAATCACATTCCAAATTGGCCCCGACAAAAAATTGAGTGGTGCACCCCCTGCATTAAAACATACCTATGTAACAGCAAGATGAAGACAAAACTGAATGCTTTTGCTCTTATATTCATTCACAAGGACATACTTATCAACCATCTCTAGGTCAATGATAGGCTTGTTAAGAACATTTTTTTTGGAGTATTCTACTTGTGAATCCTAAAAGGTGAGTTGTTTGTTCATAGCAATGCATACTGGCCTTTATACTGAAGTTTTACTGTCCTGCATAACTTGTCTAAGTTTCACCTTATCAATAAATAACTCATTTCCAGATTATGAAGGGTAGTAAAGTTTTCAATGTATTTGAATCTGGATCAACTATTGCAATACTTCCAAAGCACATCATGGATGATACAGAACCAGTGTATTGTTATTAGATTCCATAGGTAAAAATTCATTATTTATTCAAGAACATTTCTGTATCCACATTATTTTCATAATGCTTGACCATGTCTTTGATGGGTAAAAAATCTTTAATTTATTATTGCATCTTAAATATAACACAGAGTTCGTAGGTATTAATTGTCACTTCTCAAAAAGATTGTGATAATTAGTTGAAAACACAATAACCCCATGACAACATAGATAAGCAATAGTGCAACAGATTAATCTTCCACAAGTGACAACAGATAAAGAAAGACTCTTATCAAATTTGGAGGAATAAAACTAGGGAATAAGCTCAACATAAAAAACAGACTGATTAACTGTAAACCAAATTTGTGAAAACTCTTTAAAAAGGTTACATTGATACTTATTTATAAAAAAAAATAATTAAACAAAGTCTGAAACCAGTAGACAGATTAACCCACTTATAAACTAGTCAAAAAATAATTTTCTTCCCCCAGTCATTTGAATAAAGCAATTGACCAAGTTCGATAAGTTTAACCATCCCTGACATTCTGTTCAGTATCTGTTCTGTTAAGTAAGGTATTGTATACTGTAGGTAATCTGATGACTGTGATGTTACATAAAAAACGAATAGTTTGATTTACGTGCATAGACTGTACTTCCCTTTTATAAATACCTTGATTACATCTCTGGTACACACTAGACCAGTGTTTCTAAGTCTGTGGTCCACAGGTTATCTTCATGGGAAGTAAGCAGCAGCATAGTGTATAGATCCCATTGTGAATGGTCCGCCAAGATATAAAACAAAACTTAAGGTGTTCCACAAACATACATTGGAGAACTACTGCACTAGATCTGAACTATAAATGCTTTATAATGATACTTTCTGACAACATAGGATGATGTTTTGGTGCTTCAAAAATGCATGGAATGCCATTACAACAGAAAGCATGCTGAACATATCAAATAGGAAACTGTGTGTGTTTTCACAAGTTGCATACCCTTTTAAAGAGAGAATATTAAGTCTGAACCTACCTCGGAGAAACTACCTTCTGGTCCAAATCCCTGTAAAAAATATAATCAAATACATAATATCTCAATTGTTTATTAAAGGAACACTTTAAATGAATCAAATTATCTAATATAGTCAAATGTTTTTTTTATTATTTTGTTTAATATATAAAATAATTTGGGAAAAAAACACTGTTTACTGTATATCCTATACGAGACAGCCAGTTAAGATAGTTCTAGATATAAACTTTACAAAGAGTATTTAAACAAACACATAAAATTAATCAGAAAAAGTAAAACTGTTTTAAACATTTGTTCAGTAGCATGCTACAGTTGTCTATAAAACTTGTTAATTGAAATAAACATAAATTATCCTGACTATTTCATAAATATACAATACGATAACTATCTGAATGCAGAGTGCAAATATTACAATATTCTGCATTTAATGAAATTATAATAAAACTGCATAAAGTCATTGTTCTTGGCAGCCATTATCAACATTATCCAATTACAGTGGATATTCCTTATGGTAGATATGAATAAGTTAGGGCTGATGTAAGATTGTTATTAGATGAATATCATCGAAGAAACTCCCCACCAACATGACAACGCCAGGCCACATACTGCTCATCATTTAGAGACTTTATATGAAAAGATAGGATGGGCCTTCCTCACTCTTCATACAGTCCTGACTCTTTCTTTTGTTTATCTCAAGGATGATAACACTATAATCGTATTTTACCTAAGTGTTAATGTGAAGAGCGTGAAAAGTTGAAGGAACTGAAATGGAAACTAAACTGGAAAGTGTAATGTTTGGTTACTCAAATTTCAATACTGTTCATGCACGTTTGTTGGTCACCATATCTCATGTGTTTGGCCTACGGGAAATAAAATTGTTTTTCTGTGAACTCTCTTATATTTTTCATAAATATGAAACATAGTCAGTCCAGAATTTCATAATTTACTGCGAGTTAGTTCCTATAAATAAGTTAAAATACACATCACTGTCAATTTAAATAACATAGCACTTACGTCAAATACACATGTTCAACAAGTTTGCAGTAAATTTCTTGCCCAGTCTCTCCACAGGTGGCGTTAACTGTGATAACGGCATCAGTGGCTAAGTTCGACACGGTCGGAAATAAGCCTTTAGGAAAATCACCTGGCAGAAAATAACAATATATTAAAGTTTGTTTCTTTTACAAATTACGTATAGCAATCAAGAAGGTGGAAATAGTTGCTTAAAAGAAAAGTAACATGATTTTATATACTAAAGTCAAACACTTCGTTATAATGTTGGGATGATAAATATATAAATCCTCAGATCATGTTAGTAACAGCAGTTGCATGTATGATAACGTACTTTTGTGCCCGGCATGGCCAGGTGGTTAAGGCACTCGACTCGCAATCTGAGGATCGCGGGTTCGAATCCCCGTCACACCAAACATGCCCGCCCTTTCAG